CCATCCAACATCGTGCTGGAAAAATGCATGGTAACGCAGACGGTTTATCCAGAAGACCCTGTCAAACCGATTGTAAGCACTGCTGTAAAACGGAACAACGTGAAGGCACTGTCATGATAAGGAGTTTTAAACTTGGAACCGATGAACAGTGGACGACGACACAATTGAGGAAAGATCAAATGGAAGATCCAGACATCGGACCAATACTACGGCTCAAGGAAGGTAACGGCGAGAGACCACCGTGGCAGGATATTGCAAACAGAGGCTCTGTTTTCAAAGCTCTCTGGGCTCAGTGAAATTCACTGGTTATTGAGAATGGATTGTTAAAGCGCACGTGGGAAAGTGCGGATGGCAGGACAGTAACAACTCAGTTACTGGTACCAAGGAAGAAAGTTACCCAGGTATTGGAAGAAATTCACGGTGGTAAAACTGGAGCCCATCTTGGAGTAAACAAGACCTTGAGCAAGCTGAGAGATCGTTTTTACTGGGTGGATTATTGCGAAGATGTCAAGAAATGGTGTCGACAATGTAAAACTTGTGCAGCCAGCCAAGGACCAAGCACTCGCTCTAGGGGAAAATGAAACAATATAACGTTGACTGCCATTCGAAAGAATCGCTGTTGACATTGCAGGCTCCATTCCCCTGAAACGCACAAGGGCAACAAGTACGTTTTAGTAGCGATGGATTATTTCAGTAAATGGCCAGAAGTTTTTGCCATTCCAAACCAAGAAGCATCGACTGTAGCTGAAGTATTGGTCAATAATGTCTTCAGTAGATTTGGAATTCCTTTAGAGCTTCACACTGACCAAGGAAGAAACTTCGAGTCAAGACTGTTCCAGAAGATGTGTGATCTGCTTGGTATTCACAAGACTAGGACAACAGCTTTACATCCGCAGTCTGATGGGATGGTCGAGAGATTCAATAAGACCATTGAAGAACATCTCTCGAAAATGGTGGATGAACATCAAAGAGATTGGGATCAGCATATACCACTATTCCTAATGGCATATAGAAGTGCAGTTCACAACACCACCGGACTTTCACCATCGAAGATTTTATTTGGTCGAGAATTACGGTTGCCTTGTGACTTGGTGTTCGGATCACCAGACGACAGCACCACGAACGTAGAGGACTACGCGGATGAACTGAAGGAAAGGTTATTGGGAATTCATAAGGCCGTGAGAAGTAAGATTACGCTAGCCAGTGACCGGATGAAAGCTCGTTACGACCTCAGAGCTAATTCTACGGGATTTCAACAGGACGATCTGGTATGGTTTTATAACCCACAGCGCAAGAAAGGGAGGTCCCCAAAGTTAACTCCAGTATGGGAAGGTCCTTATACAGTCATCAAGAGGATAAATGATGTTGTGTACCGGATTCAACGCAGCCCTAGAAGTAAGATGAAAGTAGTTCATCTGGATCGATTGAAGAGATACCAGACAGGAAACCTTGATCGGGACGATCAAATTTGAGAAGGGGCAATGTCAAGAAAAAATGGCGCATCCGCCAGAAATTAAAAATGTATTACTGGTTGCCTGCACAACCGCAACGTATCCGCCAGAAATTAAAAGACTTTTTCAGGCGCCATCTTTTTAGTCAAGTCGAGAAGTAGGAATCAGACAATAGAATTGTCTGGTATGAAGAAGTACGCTTTCCGAGAATTGGGGAAATTTCGAGAAGCAGTCAATAGAGTATATAAGCCGGAGCCATCGACAACTGAGACAGTTTTTGAAATTTGAATATACCGCGTGGAAATTGAAAATCGGACAATTTGGTGAAGGAATCTTATAAATAGTTAGTTTGTTGTGTGTTATAAGTTAGTAATTGTGTATAAAGTGAGAAAATAAATTCGTTAAGTATTTTATCGTGAGTTTAAATAGTGGACCCACGGAATCCGTAACAATATTTTTACATTGTTAATTTTAGTATAAAAAAATTGTTTTTCTGTTTTCAGGTTTTTGTATAAGGCTCCCGTTTTCATGTTCCTGTGTCCGTTTTCTGTCCTTGAAGTCTGCGAATACGTGTGTTTATTTACAAATTACTGTAAGTCATGCTTATACCTTAACTAATTTATGTTAAAAATGCATATAATTAACTAATTGGCATTGAAACAATACAATCCTCTATATTTTTATATTTATTTAGTCACGTTGTTCCATTGTATATTTCAAATAAATATATGTGAATAAATTATTTTTTGGTTTTATTTATGAAAAGAAAAAATACAAAATACATTTGAACTGAAAGAGGGCCCGCCATTGAATAACCGGAAACGGAAATAAAAATTAAGCCATCATGTCCTTATCATGTCAACCTGTCAATTGGAAAATTAGTTCTCCAGACGACAACGAAGGCTTTCGGTGGCGTATCGTGTTTCCACGATTTAACACAGAGTTGACACTTCTTTCTAGTTAATTATTTTATGATTAGCCCCCCTCCTAGTCACCGCACGGATATCAAACTTACGTTTGACATCCGTGCGGCTTGAACAGCATTTCAAGTGATGTATAATTCTGTGCCTCTGCTCCTAGCAACCTGCATTTCAAATACACGCATCGCGTATCACCGTTCGTCTAAAAATATGTACGTGGGTTTAAGTTTGGGTTAGTTTGTGTTTGAGAAGTAAGAATTGTACATTTTTTCTTGCAATTGTACCTATGTACTCCTTGACTATCAAATGTACCCAAAATAGTACAATTGTACCTATTGTAACAACACTGGATACAATCCCTTCAATATTAGCATGTCATTAAGAAACACCTTGTATAATGCGATAAAAAATGGCGTCACAGTAGTCTTTGAAAGGACAATGGATAAGTTTTGCTAAAAACTGCGAAAAAAATAAGAAAAAAATTAGGAGGAAATCTATACTAATATATAAAATCTTTAAGTGACTGACATACTGATTAATCACGATCCTGCTCAAACCACTCAACGTAAGAAGCTCAATTTTGGCATACAGGTTGATTCTAGGGGTAGAGGTTCGATAAGAAGGGATTTTTCGAAATTCCAGTTCCAAGAGGGTGAAACCAGGGGGGTGACAGTGAAATAGGAAAATTGGAAACAGTCATTAGTGTCAATCCTGTCATCTCCTGACGACAAGTATGGCCGCCTAGACAAGGACAGCAATGTTTCTGTCTAACTATTGTCTAACTTCACAGTTTAGAATTGACAGATTTCAGAGACAACTTCAGATTTGTTCTAGAACAAATTTCGACGCCATTTTAATCCTCTCCGGTTAGTTTTGTTTTGTAAATTCAATTTGATATTTCGGCAGAAATTTATAAATATAAAGGTAGTAAAGCATATAAATATATTATTACATGAACAATCCTGGAGAAAAGACGTTTCTGCAGTACTAGGTATGTCCCATGTATATTAAAAATAGGTAGTAAATAAACACTATTTCTGTATTTTTTAGATGCAAGAAAATTTTGTTATGTTTATGATCGGCGATTTTTTTGAAAATGGAAACAATTTACAGCAAAGTAAGATCATTTTTAACTATAGCCAACATTAGTTATCTCCAGTATGTGCGATTTATTGTCAATAATGCAGTAATTCTGACTGATACAATCTGATTGTTATCCGACTAAAAGTCTCTTTTTGCTTCTTTTTGATTTACAAACCAGGTCTCTTTGGGAATAATGGACGCTTTTTTTAAACAGTATATTTATATTTTATACCTTGATATTTTTACATTGTTAATTTTAGTATAAAAAAATTTGTTTTTCTGTTTTCAGATTTTTGTATAAGGCTCTTAACGTTACAAATTACTGTAAGTCATGCTTATACCTTACTAATTTACGTTAAAATTGCATATAATTAAGTAATTGCTGTAGAAATCATTCAATTCTTTATTTTTTATATTTATTTAGTCCCGTTGTCTCATATTTCAAATAAATATGTTTGAATAAAATTTTGTTTTGTTTTATTTATGATAAGAAAGAGTACAAAATACATTTAAACTGAAAGAGGGCCCGCCATTGAATAACCGGAAACGGAAATAAAAATGAAGCCATCATGTCAACCTGTCAATTGGAAAATTAGTTCTCCAGACGACAACGAAGGCTTTCGGTGGCGTATCGTGTTTCCACGATTTAACACAGAGTTGACACTTCTTTCTAGTTAATTATTTTATGGGTGAAACCACCCCTCAAATATTACAATATTTTTTATTTAAAAAACGGTCAATTTTCCGACAAAACGCTTAAACACGTATATTTTGTTTTGTTTTTTTACATACTTCAGGATTTCTTTATAAATTTACACAGGGTGTTTCATAAAATATGACCATTGAGTAATCACGATTGTGCTTAAACTGCTTGACGTTTAAAGCTGATTTTTGGCAAACGGATTGACTGTGGGGTGTAGAGGTTTGAAAGGAGGGGTTTCTTGAATCTCCAATTCCAAGAGGGTGAGAACGCCCCTCAAATATTACAATATTTGTTCTTTAAAAAACGGTTAGTCTTTCGAGAAAACGCTTGGACAAGCATAATTTATTTGGTTTTTTATATATGTATTTTGAAATTTTTTAAAAAATCATACAGGGTGTTCCAAAAAGTTGGGTAATTTCTTAACCACGATTCTGCTTAAACTGCTTCACGTAAAAAGCTTATTTTTGGCAAACTGATTTTTCGAAAGTCAAATTCCAACGAGATGAAACTACCCCTCAAATATTACCAAGTTATATAACAATATCGCCATATTGTTTTTTCTCATGCTGACATAAATGTGAGAAAATTTTATCCAGTTTGTCTGTTAATGGAAATTCTTGCTTTGGTTTACCATCACCTTTACAAATGATTAATTCGACGCGAACGAAGTCGCTGGTACACGCTAGTACGTATATAAAAAATGGCGTCACAGTAGTCTTTGAAAGGACAATGGATAAGTTTTGCTAAAAACTGCGAAAAAGCAAGAAAAAAAATTAGGAGGAAATAGCTTATAAACAAACAACTATATTGTGGTAAAATTAGTAAGAAAAAGACACGTTGATATCTTTACTGTATAATTTCATTATCACACCTTTTATTATTACACTATAATGCATATAAAAAAAACATTACTTAATGGTAATAACTTATCTCGAAATTCTGTGTAAAATAATGCATAAGGAAAAATATGTTAAAATTGTTATTTGTTTTTAAACGGTAATAAAAATATTTTAAAATTCATAAAACTGAACGTGGTCGTTTGTCGGGTAGATCAAAAATATTTATAAAAACAAAACAACTTCCTATTAAAATAAACGCATATAGTATATTGTGTGACTAAATAAAAAACGACGTCACGGTAGGAGTATATAAATAACATTTTAGTTCAAGCTTTACCATGCCTAACGCTGAAGTTCTTAATAGCTGATCTGATTTGGGATTCGGAATTTTATATTTTTTATATTGTAATTTTAGTATTTTAAAATAAGACATGATCAGCTGTCAAAAGCTCCAGTGAAAGCCATATTAAAGCTATATTTCTACCGATCGCCAACTGTATATAATTAAATTAATAAATTAATTTTTAATCCACCCAAGATTTTTTTTTGTTGAAATAAAATAAATATAAAATTACTGAAATCAAAATAACTGATTATTCTGTAATATATTCTTTTATCAGTCGAATTATTTTGAACTAGATTATTTGTAGCACTGTTTGGGGTTGAAAAATAAATATACAGGGCGGTCCAACCTTAACAAGACGATTAGGCAAGTTATATGAATAAGATGTCCGTTATATTTCAAAGTTGATCATTTCTCTCATGACGCCCTCTAAATTTTTAGTTTATTGTCTAAAAAAAAATAACAGACCTTTGTAAACCCTTAATATTCACAATAAACCAGCGGCGGCCCGTCAGGTGAGGCAACTGAGGCGCCGCCTCACCTCGAAATTCTATCTTTTAGTAGTACACAAATTTATTTCCAGCTAATCGTATATTTATATTATAGCAATATTAATATCGAATAATTTTATTAAAATATACCCAGCTTTTTACTTTTCGACCGGTCTAAACCAATCGATCGCGCCATATCATTTCTGTTTTAACTGGACTACAATGCATCTTTTCGTTCTGCGTTCCTGAGGCGTAATTTTTGCCGCCTCTGCCGACCTTTTTTTATCAGTGAACTAAAACGTCACACATTGAAATCAGTGGGTCGGGGAAGCGGAGGGAAAGCGTGAAATTAGCTGCTGCAGAGGCGACAGCCAAATCGCTTAAGTGCAACGCTTACAAACTTGATTGTTAAGTTCAAAAATAGTTCGTGCTTGATATGGCTGGATAATGCGATATTATAATGCTCTTTGTAATTAAAATTAATCTATTAATTGATCTTCACGAAATACCCCATCAATAATTGTGGAAATAATATCGTATATCGAAGAGAGTATAGAATAAATTTGAATAATATGAACTCTTGGCATCCACGCAATACTGGTCAAAATAATTAACTTTAGATATTTCGGGGAATTACTAAACGTCACGTCTGTTCGGTCGGTTTGTTTTATGCTTTTGTGAGTAGCAAGTAGTGTGATCTAGCCGTAATTCAGAGTTTAGTGATTTATTTTGTAATAATCAGACTTTAAAATGAATCACGTACATGACATTGTGATGTCCCTTCTAGAAACCCCGTTTTCCAGAAAACAGGAGGATGAAAAGCGAGAGGTCTTACAGGAAAACAGACCTACTCCCCAGATAAGTGTTATAACAAATGATAAAAAGACAAATTAACAATCCCGATTACAAGTGTTCAAGTCGAGCGGGATTTTCTTGTCTAAAACGGATAAAATCTTACTTAAGGAATACAATGTTACAAGATAGACTTTCTGCTTTGTCTTTATTTTCAATTGAAAAGGAGCTGTTGGTTACCCTTAGTGAGAACGAAGGGAAGTTTTATGATGACATAATTGATAAATTTGCCATTCTTAAAGACAGACGAATAAACTTAACCTACAAGGAATAATTCTTATACAATTACATTTTGTAACTATTTTTTACTTGTTTGTTTCTTATTTACATATGTCGTCGCATCGAGCGTCGTAGAGCTTGATGTGACAAATTCCGTCTTACTAACCGAACGAAAACCTGAAATTAGAGCTGTTATATTACGATCATTAGATTAGTTAGCTAATACCTAATATATGTTTAAGTTATATTATTTATACTCTGAAGAAAAAAAAAATAAAGAAACAGTTCCGATGATGACTTTTTTAATAAGTTATGCTTACAAACTTATTATATCTGAGGAGCAAAAAAATCTCTAGCTTATTGTTGCTTAGCTGCTTAAAAAACAAAAAGAAAATAAACAAATAAAAACAAAAAAAAGTTCTTAAGACATTTTTAGTAGGTTAAACCTTCAAACATATTATATCTGAGGAATAAAAAAAATTAAACTTGTTGCAGCTTAGACCCCCCCCCCTTTCGTCCGCGTTTGCGTCGCCTCATTTCAGTGCCCCAAAGAAGATTTATTTCCCATTTAAATTACATAGGAATTTGCAACTTTTTACAAATAATTTTTTTCTCTCTCAATCTTGTTCTCTCGCAGCCATGACAATATTCTTGTACAGAATTGAACGCTCTACAAAAAAGGTCTCTCAAAATTTTTCGATAAACCTACCCCTTCAAAAGTTATTCACGGTTAAAGTTAACCTCTCGGTAAATTGCTAAATTTTTCAACTTTTTTTGACACAATTATGATTATTTTTGAATAATTTAATCTATTACTGTAAAAATATACAATTTTGATGGTGTTGAGGTTAGGAGTTAAGAAATCTTCAAGTCTAATGAAATTTAAACCATTTATATATAAGTATAGCTGATTTATTTTAATAAACATTCTTTAGTTGGATTTTGATTTTTTTTATGTTGGCAAGAATGTTTGTAAAAATAAATTCAAATCGTCAACTTAACAGAAAAAAAATGTTAGGAAAATAACAGAAATTTACCGAACTTACTTAAAATTATTTAATTAAGTACTGCAAAAGAATACAAGCTCAAAAATAATAAGTATTGGAATTAACTACCTGTCATGCATTCAAAATTGTTTTACATGATTCAAAGTTGTTTATCATGGTATCATGAAAATTGCTTATTTTTCAAAAAATAGGTTAAATTTTCCAAAAATAATCATAATTTTGCCAAAAGTTGAAAAATTTAGGAATATACCGAGTGGTTAAATTTAACCGTGAATAACTTTTGAATGAGTTGGTTTATCGAAAAATTGTAAGAGCCCTTCTTTGTAGAGCGTTCAATTCTGTACAAGAATATGTGATTGTCATGGCTGCGAGAAAACAAGATTGAGAGAAAAAAGATTATTTGTAAAAAGTGGCAAATTCCTATGTAATTTAAATGGGAAATAAATCCTCTTTCAGGCAAGGTTTACTGTGAATATTATAAGGGTTTACAATGGTCTGTTACTATTTTTTAGACAATTAACTAAAAATTTAGAGGGTGTCGTGAGAGAAATGATAACTTTGTAAATAACTGACAACCTAATGAATATAACCCTGAAAAATATCTGATAATTTTTGAATTAGTCATATTTAAAACAAATTTGGTACTTATGTAACTTCATTTAGTTGCCTAGTCAAGGTAAAACACTCTGTAGATATTAAAATAAAATAATTTCAGTCCAATAACTATATACACATAAAAAAGACAAGGACTTACAGGTATAATGTGATGTTTATAAATTCATCAAATTTTTTAACTATTATTTACATTAGTAATCGATAACTACCCAGTTACCATAGAATACACGGGGCATTACTATAATAATTTTGTAAGAATTTTTCACTAGTCGATATACCGCGTGATCGAAAACAAAACGACGTCATAGTAGGCGTAGAAATATAATGCCTCAAGTTACATATTGGTTTGTGTTACCGTTTTTCATTTCTAAGGCAACTTGACGCCGTTTTTTCGATCATACGGTACATGAACGAATTGATTCAAAATATCAAGTAGTTTTCAATGAAAATTATAGAAGTATTCTGTAATTAGTAAACATTTAAATCAGTTAAAATGAAGCAGTTATTTTTCTCAGTAAATATCCAGTAATTTTCAAATATACAGAGATCATATTTTTGCAGATTCATGTCGGCAGCTATCAAAATGTTGATAAAAAATATTAAAAAACTCTGTATTTGTGAGAGTTAGCTAACACTAAAATAGTTTTTTTCTTCATTATTAGGCCAACAAAACTATCAAATAGTTATTTTAATTCATTATAATGAATATTATATACGATTGGGGAAAAAAATGGCGTCAAAGTAGGCTTTGAAATGACCATCGACTTTATAACACCGTTCAGTTGATTTTTAATAAATAACTTAAAGAGATTTACTCAAATAAAATACTCATTGATTGCAATTTAAAACGGTACTTTGACACCGTTTTTTTCCCACCATACAATGTTTTTGTTAAGTTGCTTTTGAGTATACAGGGTGTACCAAAATAATTTCGAAATAAACCATTACTAAATTTTCAAATATTTTCCTGTATTATTTCAGAGATTTAAATCTTAACAAAAAAAAATTATTCTATACACCCTGTATTTAATAAAGCTGACTTGGAACTTGGTTTTAGAATTAAGTAGTTCGTTTTTTTTTCATTAATAGGCCTATGGAACTACAAAAAAATAACAAAATTACATGAATAGGCTATCACTCTTAATATCTAACTTCTTTTTAGTTTATAGTTGTTACAACTAATAAATACTCAAAAAAAATCGAGTTACCTATTTTAAAATATAATGTCAGTTGTTTCTACCCTGTTCTGTGGCTCTTCTGCTTGTAATTTGAACACTAAGAAGCACTAATTTTTGTACTACGTTTCATGAGGACCATCTTTTGTGGATAAAAAAGAATAATAATTCATTTTAAATGTCAGAGAAATATACACAGAGAGGATAGCTTAAGAAGTGCCACATAATTTTTAGGACAGCCTTAACTAACTGTATATTTCTCCCCTACATACAAAAAGAGAATTTTTTGACTAGATAAAAATCAAATTTTAAAAATTAATTTAAGAGTGCCAAATAAATTTTCAAAAATTGAATTAAAAGTAAGAAAACTTGAAGAACAGAGGCAGTAATGTAAGGAATATGATTAAAAGACAATGTAACTAAGAGATAGAGCACGAATCTCAAGGATTCTCATCAGGCAAGTCTAAAATCTCTCCAATAAAACTGGAAATATCCGTTTTTAAGTCTCGATGTTTTGTTAAAAACTCGTGCTGTAAAAGTTGAGCATAGTTTAACCTAAACAACAAAAAAAAAACAAATTCGTATATATTAAATAAATAAAAAAGTTAACTTTACCTGTCGGTGTATTTCTTTTGAAGACACTTTGAAATAAAATCTTCAAATTCTGGAGAAAATTGACCATCCGATGGCAACCTAGGTGGATTATCGGTCACTACCTGTTTAAGTTGTTCAAATGGAGTGCCCCATTTAGGATAAGGGAACACCCCTGTGGCTAGTTCGATTAATGAGATGCCTAGAGACCATACGTCTGACCTTATGTCGTACTGAGATGGATTTCCTTGGGGATCAATTCTTTCTGGCTAAAAATAGTTAAGAAATAACAAAAATAATTTAAAAAATATCACTTATATACTTACAGCCATGTAAGGTTTACATCCAGCATCAATAGTCTTTGCTACAGAGTTGACTAAGTATCCACTAATACCAAAATCACACATTTTAACTTGTCCCTCTCTATTTATAAGGATATTCGATGGTTTAACGTCTCTATGGATAACCTTTAGTTCTGAATACAAATAATGTAGGGCGCTGACAACAGCAAATGTAATTTTTCCTAAAAGAAAAATATTATTTAAAAAAAAACATATATACGAACATGATAAAAATACCTAAAACCGTTTCTGGTATTCTTTGGTCATTCTTATATACTTTAGCATAAAACTTATCTAAACTGGTATCCATCACTTCCATACAAATCCAGACATCACCTTCCCGAAACAAGGCACCATAAAATTGAACGGTATAAGGACAGTCACTGCTCCTCATAGATATATCAAGGTCCATTAACAAACGTTTTTCTTCCTTTGAGTTTACTGTAGCTGTTATACGCTAAAAGAAACAGTTAAAATATTGCAAAAAATAATCATATACGATTATTACTTTCACTGCCATTACTGTTCCACTCGGAATATGTTTCATTTTCTCCACAACTCCGTACGCTCCTCGCCCTAAGTCACAAATCTTCTCTAAATCATCAGCGTTTACTTCGAAGGTTTTATCAGCTATTGTTATGGTTGTCTGGGAATCCAAATTGCCAGGAGGAACTCTTAAAATTTTAACAGGAAAATTAATATTTATTTTACATTCAACTTCTTTTTTACTTACACTGGTACTGGCTCCTCCTGCATAACAATTTTGAGCCCTGGCCTCTTGCGTCCTGCCATTCTAGTTAGTTTTGAAAAAAAAATAAAAGAAAATTAATTCAAGTTCAACAGCAAAAAAAATATAGTTGTAATTTAAATATGATACGAATGGATAGCATGGGTTTGGACTTACTAGGTATTTGCCTTTGAATGTGGCTAAACTTATTCAACAGAAAATACCGGTTTGATTTTTCTATAAACCTTATTTTATCCGCTAAACTCTCAAACGTGACCATAAAAAGTAGCAAGATTTTAGAACCTTTAGATTATGGTAATTTTTCAAGCTAGTAACTTTTCATTTTTATTCCACTAAAAATTTCTTACTAGATTATAGAAAAATTTATTGTTTCTTGGTTTTTACAATACATTATTTGCGATTTTGAATATTTTCTGCCTTTGATATACTATGGATTCGATGTTTTTTGAAATAATTTATTAAATACCCAATATTAGGTTTATAAAAAAATATATTTAAAATTATGTTGGTAGCTCTGGAATAATCCCATTTCAAAATTTGACATTCTGAAATTACCTATCTTTTTCTATCGCACTTGTGGATGGATGATAAATTTGACAGTAGTTAAACGTCAAATAAACAAAACAAAAATAAAATATTTTTGTATAATTTGTGTACATATGTCAGAGTTTTGATAAATTATGTATTTATTTCTTTAACAATTTAATTGAATAGAATATCGATTAAAGTATGAAGTTTAATAAATTAAAGGAGCCTGGTGAAATCGACATTTAATAATTGAATATTCATTTTTAAAGTGTTAAAGTGAACATGATATTCTAATTTAATACAGTAAACTAATTAAATGACTGTTTTTAGCAAGTTCGGTGTGTTTTTCAGCCCCGACATGTGGATTTTTAAAGACGTAGTCCCACCTATAGGTTTTACCACTTTTGCAGGAGCAATAGTTGTGTGCGTTTTAAGTTTTTATATTTTCAAAAAGTTAAGTGGTGAAGGAAACATTGCTGTTCAAGATCACAGTAAAAACCATAGCTGGATACCGATAAAAATTACTGCTAAGGTTCGATCAATTAGTATCGGAGGCTTATTTAAATTAATCAAACTGGAATTTAGGCATGGTACTGCTCTATATGTGAATCATTTTTAATACATGGGATTGGAGTGTATTGCGATTGTTGTGGAATATGTGCAGATCCAGAATGTGTGAAAAAAGCCAACCAAATGTTAAGATGTAAAGCCATCACTAGTAATAGTGAATTTCAACTACATCACTGGGTTAAAGGTAATATTGTTAGAATTATTTATTTCTTGTTTATGATAATTTTTTTGTAGGAAATCTACCTTTAGGAGCTACTTGTTTTATATGTAAGGAAGATTGTTCAATGGAGCCAGGTCTAATAGATTTTCAGTGTTGCTGGTGTCAAAGATGTGTTCACACTAAATGCCAGAAAAAAATTGATGAAGTAATACCATTTTTTAACAAGGAATTCCTGGTAAAAGAACACTGTTTTTGTAGGGATGTGATTTTGGACCTTATAGAGAAATGATTGTACCCCCTTTCTGTGTTCAAGTGGCTCGAAGGAAGGGGGCGTTGAATAAGCATCTTTTACTAAGAGGAGTAAAAGATCCTGGTTGGGATAAGTGGACACCACTGGTAGTTATAGGTAAAGCTTTATATAAAGATATTAATTTTTATATATTCCCATGCTATCTGTAGCTAATAAGAAGTCTGGCAACAATGACGGTGCTTTGGTGTTGTCAGAATTCAGAAAATTCTTGAATCCAGCGCAGGTAATAGACTTAACGAACAGAAAACCCCCAGCGGCTTTGCAATGGTGTGTACTTCTCGCACCCAAGGTGAATAATAGTTTGATGTTAGTAATTTTTCTGAAACTATTCAGGTTGATTAATTTTTGTGTAATACCATGTCTTAATTTGCTGCAGGTTATAAAAGTTTTAGTGGCAGGAGGAGACGGTACAATTTCTTGGGTTTTAACTTCATCTCATAAGTTAGACTTGGATGTAAGAAGTATTTCTTTTTCTCTGTTGCATTGCCTGATTTTTGTTTTGTGATCTGTTCCAGCCAGAACCGCCTTTGGCTATAATTCCTTTGGGTACTGGTAATGACCTGTCTAGAGTTTTGGGGTGGGGGAAGGAAAACAGCCCGGAACCAGATGTACCAAAGATTCTGACAGATATTCAGCAAGCTCGATTATCGCGTTTAGACAGGTAAGGTAGTATAATACTATTAATACTACGATTTTTCATAGGTACAGTTTTCTGTTATTTTAATTTCAAATTTATATAAACTTTTCATCTTAACCCTCAACTGGCGTGGTGAATTTTTGTAACGCTTATGGCGTGCTGGGGTCCGACCGTAACCACCGTATGTTATTACGGTGGTTACGGTCCGACGGACCCCAATTTTTTTCAGTTTAAAATACATGATGAAGAGATTTTATAAAAAGCTTGTTATTCTAACACTGTTTACAATATATTCAAACTTGTGAACAAACAATTTCATTAATTTTCAACAAATTAATAAGAACGGACACAAAAATAAAGTAAAACGCATTTTTTAGGAATTTTTGACAACAGAAATATAACTTGGCTGTGAAACCCATAGAAATTAAAAACATATAAATATATTTTATGATTTTAACGTATTATTAAAAGTACAAACAACTGAAATGTGAAGCTAAAGTAATAAACATAAATAATTATTTTCAACAAAACTAACTAATTCTAAAAATTCTAAATCCCACAGGACGCCGTTAACTTCGCGATCGATCCAGGACTCGCGTGAGTGTGTCACGGGACGCTTTTAACTCCGACGCCGATCCGAGGTCCGTGTTTCGCTGTAAAAAAAGGACGCCGTTCCGATAAATATTTAGCTGTGACCATCGGGACGCCTGTAACGAAGTCGCCGCCGTTTAGAGAGTCGCGTCGTAGTAGAGTGCTAGTAGTTGCTCCGGTATCTACGTGTCTGTGTTCATTAGGACGCTGCTAAACCCGACGCCGATCAGGAACTCGCGTCGTCGTGTTTAAGAGAATGTCACTTCGGGAACGCGTTTTGAATTCGCGTGATAGAATCATTCAGAGAGTTACGTATCGGGAATAATCGATCAAAACTCTAGAGGTACACGGTTGTTATTGTAAATTTACTTTACGGGTCTCTAAATATACATTGTCTTTCACTATTGTTACAATTCGAGGACGTGAACCTTCTTTGATTACTTTTGTACATAATTAATTAGTTAAATAAAAACCTAGTGTTACGTTATAGTTAATTGTGTGTTTTATTTTCTTTTCATCTCATCACTCCCTGGTATCTCCACTGTATAAAAGCTACCCGTATTGGCACGAGTGGTCTCGCAAACACTTTAAACGTTGGGGGTGGCGTCAGAGGAACCGAACCAAGGCAACTCGGCGTCCGTGAGCTTTCGCAAAAACGGGGGAGCATCACAAACTTTAGCTCCCGCTGGTAGGAACAATACTTGATAAAATCAAGTGCGCCTTTAACAGTTGCATATTGGTACCCTAACTTAAAGGTAAATGGCGCGACAAGGCCTAATTCTTAAAGGTAAACGTTTTACAGAGGTTTAAATAGTGCTTGGGGTCCGCTGGACCCCACCACGCCAGTTGAGGGTTAAAATCATTTTCTATTGTCTCATGGTAACCCGAGGGGTGTCTCACTTGGGTAAAAAATGTACATGTACTGCCAAAATATAATTTTACTGCCAGTGACTGCGAAGACGACTGCCTATGTCTGATATATAATTATAGTCGACTGATGCCAGCGACTGCCAAGAAAATGTACATGTAATTCAAACAGTGAGACACCCTTTGTGGTGATCAGAGTATACAATAGGGTGGGTCAAAAAAATCGACTATTTTTTTTCACTTTATATTCTGAAAAAAAGGTTGGTAGACACCTCAAAAAAATTGACATGCTGGAACCACCGGATTCTTAAGAGTTGTCTAAGGTGTCTCTGTTGCAACTTGTTTAAAGCGTTCATGTGTCGGCGGTACGGCACCCAGGTTTCGCTTCCATATAACATGGTCGGGATTGTAATTGCTCGGTACACTTCAAGTTTCGTTTTTGTACTCAAGTCATGATTGTAGAAAACCCTGTCTTTTAATTTCTAGAATGCTCTTGAGACGCTGCTAATCCTGTGCTGAATTTCAGAATCTATATTGGCCTTTTCCGAAAAAAACTGCCGAGGTAATTAAATTCCGCTAGATATTCCGTTAGTTCTTCTCCGATTTTTATAGCATTGTTATGATCTTGCGGGGGAGTGCACATGATTTTGGTTTTGTCGATGTTTAGCTTAAGACCCAAAGCCTCATCAGCCCAGGTATATGTGTTCAACATTTCTTGTAATTGTTGTAACGTGTTTGCAGCTAGAGCGCAGTTATCAGCGTATTGAAGTTCTGTGATGAATTTTGTACGTGTTTTTGCCCTGAGTCTTTTTATGTTGAACATACCTCCATCATATCTGTATCTAATGCCCAATCCTCTCTTCTGCAGTTTTCTGTCCACTATAATGGAGAGCGCTGCCATGAATATGTTGAATAGGAGAAGCGCTAAGACGCATCCCTGCCTAACTCCTGTATTTGTCGGGAAGGGATCGTTCAGTGATCCATGATGTGACACTCTTGACTGGTTGTTGTTATGGAGGCTTTTACATACTGTAAGAAATTTGTTGGGTACTCCGAACTTTTTCATAATTGCCCAAAGTGCATCTCTGTTCACAGAATCGAAGGCTTTTGTTAGATCGATGAATGCAACATAAAGTTTAGACTGCTGCTCTTTTACTTTTTTCTGTATTTGGCGGAGGGAAAATATGTGCCGCGGTTGGTACGAAAACCCGTTTGCGATTCTGGAAGGATTTTTTCTATATGTGGGTGCAGGCGATTTGACATAATTTTTGCAAGAATTTTTCCTCCGATAACCAATAGTGAAATTCCCCGGTAATTTCCGCAGTCTGATGCACTTCCTTTGTTCTTAAATATATTCACTATATTCGCGTTGCAAAAGTCCTGAGGTACCTCTACTCTTTCCCATATTGAAGAGAGCCGTAAGATGACCAATAAGTTCTTTACTTGCACACTTATAGATTTCCGCCGGGATTGCGTCACAGCCAGTTGTTTTTAAGCTGTTTTATGGATGCCATTATTTCCTGTTCTGTTATTGGGGTATCTAATATATCGAGGCTGTTATACTGATGTATTGTGTTTAGTGCTTCTATATTGGGGTTGTTTTCTTGGATATGGCTGTAATGCTCTTCCCAGCGGTTTCTAATTTGCTCTTCCTCTTTTAGAAGTTCGCCATTTTGTGCCATGATTGGACAGCTTACCTTCTTGGTTGGGCCGTATACTTCTTTTACAGCCTCGAAGAATTTACAATAATCGTGATGCGTGGCGTAATAAGATATAAAATTAAGATATTAAATTAAGAGCTCATACTTGGAGAGAATTTTTTTGAAGTGTCTACCAACTAAAATATAGTCGATTTTTTTGATTCACTCTACTATACAAGGTGTGTTACAACTATTTCCTGACATACTTTTAGATGGAAAGTGGAGGTCATTTCAACTAGACACTTAGGATTAAAAATTCCAAACAAAACCTACTACATGTACAATTACATAAGTATTGGAGTAGATGCGCAAGTTGCCTTAAGTTTTCACAAAACGAGGGACAGCATATTTTACGTTTATGGAAGTAGATTATTTAATAAAGTAACTATAACATATTTTTACACAACTGTAATCAATGAATTACTATTTTACTGTTTATTTTTTTTTCAGTTATTGTATTTATGTTTTGGGACACAGCAAGTTGTCACAGCCGATTGTAAGAATCTCGAACAAAGGTTAGATCTGTACTTAGACGGTAACAAAATTGAATTACCAGAGTTAGAGTCTATTGTGATTCTTAATATTCCATCGTGGGGGGCAGGTGTGAATTTATGGAGTAAGTTTATAACAAATAAATAGTCTTTTTATAACCCAAGTAGCATTTTTAGACACAAAATCTCTGCGGAGAAACATTGCAAAATAATTTCGTCACGTTTTTGATACCTACGTTTTGTAACATAAATCGCCTTTTGTTTCGAAACATTTTACCAAAATATGGTTTTGCTACATAAGCTGTAACAATAAAGATCTTAGTGTCACAAATTTTTCGAAACTTTTAAGAAACAGATGTTGCTCACATTTACAAAGATTTCGTACCCGTTTTGTGCCAGAAAAGTTTCTATAATTTAACATAACCTTATTTTATTGTTTGGATTTTGTTCTGCAGTTTTTGCATTTAAGCATTCTTCAAGTTTTTCAAAAGTTTTCTTTAGTTTGACAAACATGATATAATATAGATGATTTGTGTCCGACTCCAAGTCGATTTTATAAAATCATGAATTAAAATTCCGCCATGTCGGCTAGTGATAGCGTTTTTAACTAAAAATATATGTTTTTATTGGCTGTTGAGCTTTTGAACTCATAAGAACGCGTTCTAATTACATTGATTTATATATTTTTATTTTCAGAACCAGGATATAAAAATAAAAATCTATATTCCAAACAAAAATGTTTTGTAGTAACAAATAATGATATATAGAAGGAACATTAAAATATGAAAGTACATTATTAAATTAAACGATGAATTTGCTTTTGCCATACATTTGTTGTGCGAGAAAACCTAAAAACAAAGATTTTAAGACAAAAAAATATGGCGGAGGTCGACATTGTTGATGGGTTGTTTTTATTTTGAAATCCAGATACAGACATAGATTATTTTAGTTTGGTATTTTGTTTCTTCACATTTAGAAACAGTGGCTGCTGAAAACGGGAACATCTTGGACACAAATTGCAGAAAATGTTTTGAAACGTTTCCTCTAAAAGTTTTTATTCCGCATGGAAACATTTCAAGAAACGGCTATAGTGCCACCACATTAGAAAGACGTAATTTTAGAATTTTTTAGAATAAGTGAGAGGGGGGTTAATCTCTGCGACCTTAGATATCTATTGTGTCCCCCTTTCTTGAGTTATAACTCATCATACAGTCCCAGGACTTCCTACGGAGACCCGTGTCCCTCACAGTCGAGGAGCTACGACCCAGGCCGGGTAGACGAAACGGTAGCTTGTGTCGCCTGTTGGGTTTAGAGGTAGGATGTAGGCTCCCGACCCTTGGAGGAGGTGGTAGCTTGTATGCCACTTGCGGAGGATGGTCTCACGCAAGTGTCAGCCACCTCTCCTGTAGTTCTCTTTGGGTTTGGCCCCTTGGAACTTTCATTGTTACTGTTCCCAGTGTCGCTAGGGGTTTCCCCACAGCTTCACCGGTGATGTTTTTATTACTATTATTATCAGATCTCATAGTGTTCCTATGAGTCGCTAGGGGACAGTCGGTCCACTTCTACAGAGCCCCGCATGTAGAAGTAAGGGTAAATACAATGGGGCGCCCCCGGTGCCCCAAGGTTGAGGCTGTCCGTAGCCCCGCCCGGTATCGTTATATGTCTTGGTGCAATTCCCTGGCCACGACACTACAGTCAGGGACAAGACGATGAGTGAGATGCTTCTTAGACCAAGCCAAGTGCTAGAGGGGATTCCCCCCAGCACCTGACCAGGAGCTTCCCCACCAACGACAAGGTCTTGCATCTCCTAGGGGAAGAAGACATGTAATAAAGCCCTATAAAATATATAGGTTTCGAAAACGTTTCCTATTTGTGGCATACCGTTTCCATTTTGTGTCAAGAAACAGACACAATAATTAGAAACATTACCTAAAATATGTCCAAAAATTCTACTTGGGACATATTATACAGTATTGGCAAATTGCTTTGAAATTCATAGTTTTTTATCTTTTAGGTATGGGAGAAGAGTCATCTAGACATTCCCAGTCCTACCACGACGGCGTTTTAGAGGTGGTGGGTATTTATTCTTCGTTTCATATAGCCCAGTTACAAGTAGGAATGTCGACTCCAATAAGATTAGGACAGGCAAAACTAGTTGAGGTAAATACAGATATACATAGTTTTTCTCACATTGTTCTAGTTTTTATGTAATGTTTTTTAAATAATTTTCTAGATAAAACTCAAAGATAAAGCACCTGTTCAAATTGACGGAGAACCTTGGGAACAACACCCAGGTACTCTAAAAGTGAATTTTGTCAATTCTTGCCCAGTTCTAGTTAACCAAAATGATAATTAGGATATTTCGCCCTTTGATATTACTTAAATTATTTAACTATACAGGGTTGTTCACCACATACGACACGGAGTATTGTAGCTAAACGATTAGATTTTTACAAATTGTAAGTTTTGGGTTCGTTGAAGGACTATTAGAGCTACAATTTAAAAATATTTTTACAATATACAGAGTGTCCCAAATAAGTAAAAAATATTATAGTTTTATTTTTTTAAATGGAACACCCTGTATATTATTCCATTTTTGGATTCTACGATTAAAATAAAGGTAAATTTGATTAAGGTTTACCACACTTAAACCTTACCGTGGAAAAATAATGGAACTCCCTGTATATTATTCTATTTTTAGGTTCTACGATTAAAATAAAGGTAAATTTGATTAAGGTTTACCACACTTAAACCTTACCGTTTTTGAAATATTTTCAATTTTATGAAATTGCAGTAAAAATGTTAAGGCTTCATTTCTCCAAGGGTATCAAAGTTTTTAATACTACATATTTACTGAAGATTATTTATTCATCAGATATTGTGTTGCAATAATAAAAATTTTACTACCTTATTCAGAGTGTCCAAAAATTTATATTAAATAATTGCTAGCTTTAAACGGCAGTAACTTGTTTAATTTAAATGGAACACCCTATATATTTTACGTGAATCAGATGCACAATGTAATTGTCTATCAAATTGTATTGTTCCATTTTTTTACCCATCTCTTCAAGTTTTCATAGAAAATGCATTTTCTTATAATTTAGACTTCATTTATCGCTATACCCATGGAATATTGACATTTTAGCTTATTTTTAAAGATGTAACAAATTTTCAAAGGGTACAGATACTAATATTGTCGATATAGTTCGCTTATTTAATTAAACAAAAATAAAAAAAAACTGTTTAAATATTTTTTGTTACAGAGGATCAATTAATATGATCCCAGTATTTCAACTACATTAATTGACTGTTTACGTTGATTAATAATAATTGCTCCAAATACTAAAAAACTGAATTTTGTGTGTGTATTAGACAGTGTGGTATAAAGTAACACCTTATAAATTTATTGACGAATGCTTATTTATAAAAACAGACACATTCATTTTCAGAACTTATTATCATATTGATTTCTCCACATCATGAATCCACATTTATTTCGAATAATTTATTAATTAAAACAATTTAAGTTTTGGTGTTTTTGGTAGGAAATAATGGTGGTATATTTAATTGGTATACTCTTTTACAAAGATTTAAATAGTTTTTTTTGTATGCCAATGGGCTTGCAATATTTACCACCTGTACATTTTGTACATATTATGGTGCTATAAAAAAATCTGAAATGTCAATATTCCATGGGTATAGTGATAAATGAGATCTAAATTATAAGAAAATGCATTTTCTACGAAAACTTGAAGAGATGGGTAAATAATGGTATAATACAATTTGATATACAATTACATTGTGCATCTGATTCACGTAAAATATATAGGGTGTTCCATTTAAATTAAACAAGTTATTGCCGTTTAAAGCTAGTAATTATTTAATATAAATTTTTGGACACTCTGTATAAGGTAGTAAAATTTTTATTATTGCAACACAATATCTGATCAATAAATAATCTTCAGTAAATATTTAGTATTAAAAACTTTGATACCCTAGGAGAAATAAAGCCTTAAAATTTTTACTGCAATTTCATAAAATTGAAAATACTTCAAAAACGGTAAGGTTTAAGTATGATAAACCTTAATCAAATTTACCTTTATTTCAATCGTAGAATCCAAAAGTAGAATAACGTACAGGGTGTTCCATTTAAAAAAATACAACTATAATATTTTTTACTTATTTGGGACACTCTGTATCTTGTAAAAATATTTTTAAATTAGCTCTAATAGACCTTCAACGAACCCAAAACTTACAATTTGTAAAAATCTAATCGTTTAGCTACAATACTCCGTGTCGTATGTGGTGAACAACCCTGTATAGCTATAAGGAGGAATACAAAATTTATATTATTGTATTAGATGGTGTTGTAAAGTTCTTTTTTGTTACAAATATCTTCCATTTTGTATCAGTATTCTTCTTGTTGGCCTAAAATGTTGTATTCTGTGTTTTTAATAAGTACCTACAACTTAACAGGTATAAATATAATATTTTAAAATATATAAAATCTGAAGCATATAGTATTGTACTGACTTATCGTGTTTAGATTATGCAAATGAAATCTACCTATCTGAGTTGTAACAATGAATATATTTTATGTTGTTATTGTTCTTTTTTAATTTTATTGTTCAAATTTTAATAATACCTGATCTTAATAAAATAAAGTTAATAAGTATTATTGATTATTTGCCCATTTCTTTGATAACACCATTATAGACCAGATATATACTACAATGTTCTAGTTGGAGAGATATATAAGGTCAGTGGGAAAAAATACCAGGTAAGTTAATTTTTTTGTTATATTTAAATATTCGGTACATTCAGTTTAGAGTGAATGTGAGCATTTTTAGAAACCACTAAACTGGAAAAAAAAAGCAGCCTAGACAAAAGATATATAACGCCAAAGTTATACCACAGATCATACAGATTATAAACTTATCTTCAAATACATTGTTTTTCGTGGTTCCAATTTTTGGAGTCGCGCACTAGTTAGGTTACTAGTTTGCGCACAAGCACGCCCACTTATGGCCTCTAAAATGGGCTCTTTCACTATATTTTGCAGTTAATTCTAGAATTTTCTGCTATCTCACTTTCGAAAAATTTGAAGTCGTTCTTAAGAAAATAAATAAAAACAAAAAAGCCCAGAATAAAAATCCGCACTTGATTTTTAATACGTCACACCTGGCATGTCGAAAAGCGGCAACACGGCCGCGGCCGGGCCACCATGCTGACCCACCACCACCTCCACACAAGGCCATTCAACCTTTTCCAATATGGCGGAGATAGAAGTGCTTTATTTGGCGCGTATTTTAAAACCTGTTTTAATTCCAAATAAACATTTTTCACACAAATGTCGGTTTAAATTACGTAATATTACACTAATTTTTTAATATACAGGGAGTCTAAAGTTCTCCACATAAGTATGGAATTTTTTGTATTATTACTTTTATGAAAACATCAGTTAGTTAATTTTAATAAAAAGGTCTACTTTCTCAGAAAATAGGTAGTGTTAAAATATTCAAACTTGAAGTAGCATATATAGAGTGTTCAAAATCATCGGAAAAAGAAATAACCAGAAATATATGACAGAAAAAGTAATATAAACTAAATATTCAATTGCAAACGCTTACCTACCATAGTTTAGAATTTACTGAACGTTTGATAAATATATACTATTATGGACAGTGTAGGAAGTTACTTGTCTTAGTAAAAGCCTTGGTAAATGCTCTTCGAATTATAAACTACACTGACTTGGGTCAAAAAATATGGAATATGTTTTGCAGCATTACACAAATGGGAATAAATTTAAACGATAATAGGTGAGGATAAATAAAAAATATAATATGTGTTTCAAGATTTTATATAGAAAAAAAAACTAAATACCTTTTTGGGGATTCGTAAGTAAAGCTTGCGCTTAGCTTAGTTTTCTTTACTCTTTCTCTTTACATAGGGCATTGTCTTTGTGGTAAAGACGAATAAAATATTGGATATTCTGAACAAGATGGATTTAATAATAAATTCTGATGTATGTGTGGGGCAATTGTGACCTAAAAAAAGACTTACATCTAGGCCATTTATATTTTCAAATGTCAATGTTGTCAATATCTTTCTGTGATCTTTTTGATGTAAAAAGCTTGATTCTTCTTCCAATATTTTACTTATAGTGAGGTAAGTGTAAGCAGTAGCCATAACTACATCCTCACTAGGGTAACAGAGGCTTTGGCTTTTGGTCTTTTTGAGGCATATTTAATGCATTTCTTACCCGAGAACTACTAGTAGGAGTGAAATTATCTCTTAATAGCTGTCAACCATTTTTTACAAAGCTCGTCATTTTTGGGGAATATAAAAGCAGAAACCTTGGGAGTCCCTCTATAATTCCCGTGACAATTTGGAACAGAGCATGTAAAAGGCATGCTACAATAAAATGTTAACCCTTTAATACCTATCTTTTGATTATTGTAAGTAACCATTATAAAGTACTATGCAGACTGGCGGCGAAGGCTACTCATTTAGGTGTAATACCTTGATAAATACTTCTAGTTCTTACTTTAAAATAATTTATAATAGAGGAGTACGACAAGCACAAAAGTTTGAAGTTCTCTATGTGGAATGTCTATTTGACAGTGCCTTAAAGGACACAGACGACGGCATAAAGATCAACGGCTACGCGGTTAATAACCTTCGCTACGCTGATGATACAGTCATCATTGCTGATAACCAAGAAGCATTACAGCGACTTATCGATAGAGTATCCTCGGAAGGCGAGCGACTCGGTTTAAAAATCAACATCGATAAGACGAAGACTATGATGGTTGGCAGAACCCTGATCGACCGTCTAAACATCTCGGTGAACGGCCAACAGATTCAACAGGTCCCGAAGTTTAAGTACCTCGGCAGCTGGATTACCGAAGACCTAGATCCAGACACGGAGATTCGAAGCAGGATCGAACAAGCCCGAGCAATATTCACGAACATGAGAACTCTGTTGAGTAACCAAAGCCTGAGTCTACGCCTACGTTACCGTTTTGTAAAGGCTACGTATACTCAGTACTACTATATGGCGTGGAGACCTGGACCCTCAAGGCAAAAAACTATGAACCGACTAGAGGCCTTTGAGATGTGGATATTTCGAAGATTGCTCAGGATTCCTTGGACTGATCGCGTGAGAAATGACGAAGTTCTGCGACGTATGGGAACGGAAAGAATGTTGCTTCAAATAGTTAAAAAACGGAAAACAGCTTACTTGGGCCACATATTTAGAAACACCAAATATCAATTCCTGAAACTGATTATGGAGGGGAAGATTGAAGGAAAACGTGGCATCGGAAGAAAGAAGTATTCTTGGCTTAAGAACATCAGAGACTGGACTGGTCTCGATGCCCATTCACTCTTTAGAGTCGCCCAAGATCGAGACGAATTTGCCAGAATTGTCGCCAACATTCATTAAATGAATAC